AATGGCCTCAATCAACTCAACGAGCCGACATATCTCGTTGTCGATCGACAACAGAATGTATACGTGTCAGACAACGAGAATCATCGTGTAATGAAATGGAATAAAGGTGCAAAAGAAGGTATTGTGGTCGCTGGAGGACAAGGTGAAGGGAGTGCCCTGACACAATTGTCTCATCCTAATGGACTCTTCGTTGACACATTGGGTACACTCTATGTAGCAGACTCGTATAATCATCGTGTAATGCATTGGACTCAAGGAGACAAGAAACAAGGTGCTGTAGTTGTGGGTGGAAATGGTCGAGGAGAAGAAGCAAATCAGTTCAACTACCTCCGTGGTTTGTCTTTCGATCGACAAGGTAATCTCTATGTCGTCGATTGGGGCAATGCTCGTGTTCAACGATTTTCTATTGAATAAGACTTGTGAATTGTTTTCTTCTTTGTACGCTTCTTTTTCTATACTTTGAAATAAATGAACAAGAAAAAGAAATTTTCTTTTACTCTTTCGCTTCAAAGAAAAGAAAAAAGCTAAAATATAAGATTACGTTATATGTTTCTTTTTTTCATCTTTTATTTATTTGTTAAATGAAAAGAAAAGAATTGATTGGAATGAAAATTTTGTTTTTTTTTGCTTACCAGTTATAGTTGCTAGCGCGACCAAGAACTACCTTGGTGGTGCCATATAGAGCCAAGGCTCTTCACATACAAACATAGATCTAACGTGTATAGAACACACCAGATAGATCTATATAGCGGCCTGTACGTGCTACGGGCACCAAGATAGGCTTGGCCAGTTTCACGCCGATGTATGAAAGACCTCCATAGACTGTAAAAAGAAACCGTACTCTGAAAGAAAAAAAGAAGTTCTGCAGAACCATTTTATGGTTCCGTAGCTCATGCGGAACCATTTTAGGTTGTGTATGACAATACGAAACTATCAACAGTTCTGTCTAACAGTACTGAACTTTTCAAGGTTTCGGGAACAGATTCAAAACCATAAAAAGTTCTGTGTTGAAGAATACTGAACCGAAAGGGTTCTGCACAATGACACTGAACCTATTAAGATTCTGTGAAAAAATACTGAACCATAAAATGTTCTCTAGTCAAAAGTACGGAACCCGACAGGTTCTGTCTCATGATGCTGAACTTTGCAAGGTTCGGCAAAAGAATCCTGAACCATAAAAATTTCAGTGTGTAATAATACTGAACCAGATATAGTTCTGGGTACAGATGCCGAACCATCAAATGTTTTCTATCCAAAATGGGAACTCAAAAGGTTCTGTCCCATGATACTGAACCGTTTAAGGTTCAGCAGAAAATTGTTGAACCATAAAAGGTTCTGTTTCTGCAATGCTACGCCGAAGAAGTTTTGTGCAATAAGACTGAACCTTGAAAGGTTCTGTCAAAAAATGATCTATTCTAAAAACAAATTCTCTACCAAAAAATACTGAAGTGTAAAATATTTTATCATTTCTGCTCAATTCTTTAGGGTTTCACAGTTCAAACGTACTGCCATAAAAGGCTTTGAGAGACAAAGTATGATGCAATATATATTTATTATGAAGTCTTTTATCAAAATGTCGGCAGAAAGTATTTTTTCAAATGCAATTTAAGGTATATTCACTACAACTATTTTATTGCATACTTTTTTCTTTCTTTTACTTCATGATACGTTATTGTGCTCTAATGTTCGACTTTTTCATCGCTCGACAATGCTTTTTGCACTAAAACCGTTGATATGGGGTGAATTTTATTATTTTTTCTGAAGTAATTTTACTTTTTTTTTACAATTTTCACCTGTTTCCCATTGTTGAGAAAAGATTGAAACAAATCACCATAGTTTCCTCAACGCCTAGCTAATATATGCTAAATCTGGTAAATAACTATAAAGGCAAATAATGCTATCATCCATATTTTGTAATCCAACTGCTTTGAGATAAATTACGCCTATCCTCACAATTCGACAACTCTGATGAAGCT